TACGTAAACCGTGACTCCGATCCTATTATGCTCCCCGCACGACCCTGTGAGAAAATCTTTGACTTCCGCCCGTTAATTGCCTTGGGTGTTTAAAATTTATTGCACAAAAAATTAGTTGCCATGGAGACGTCAATAAACAACACTTTTGTTTGGGTAATAGCATAACGGTTATCACGTGACATTTGTTGCTTTTATAACCCGGGAATATTAGATAGTTATCAAAAAGATACAACAAACAACCTTACACAAAACTATAGAAATGTTAGCCTTGTCAAAATATCTAAACTAAACAAAAGTTAAGAAATGTATCGTGCAAAATGTTCAATATTTTCTACTTGACAATTGGGCCACCGATTGATATAGTCGGTTCTAGTAACAGCTGATTAAAGGTGGAGTTACTTCCATCTATCGTCTGACAGTGTTGGGTTACTTCCCTTGATCTGTGATTGAAGCGATGGCTGCCGGGACGACAAGGGGCGGTAAGCCACGGCATCAAGGCGGGCCCTTGTCGTGATCAGTGGACGGGGGAGTCAGATAAACGACTTGGGTTACACTGCTGGAAGGGGAGGGGTGGGGGAGTTGTGTGGGGTGGGGGAGTTGTGAGGGATGGGGGAGTTGTGAGGGGCTGGGGGAGTTGTGAGGGGTGGGGGAGTTGTGAGGGATGGGGGAGCTGTGAGGGGCTGGGGGAGTTGTGAGGGGTGGGGGAGTTGTGAGGGGTGGGGGAGTTGTGAGGGATGGGGGAGTTGTGAGGGGTGGGGGAGTTGTGAGGGGTGGGAGAGTTGTGAGGGGTGGGGGAGTTGTGAGGGGTAGGGGAAATGTGAGGGGTGGGGGAGTTGTGAGGGATGGGGGAGTTGTGAGGGGTGGGGGAGTTGTGAGGGATGGGGGAGTTGTGAGGGGTGGGGGAGTTGTGAGGGATGGGGGAGTTGTGAGGGGTGGGGGAGTTGTGAGGGATGGGGGAGTTGTGAGGGGTGGGGGGTGGGGGAGTTGTGAGGGGTAGGGGAAATGTGAGGGGTGGGGGAGTTGTGAGGGGTGGGGGAGTTGTGAGGGATGGGGGAGTTGTGAGGGGTGGGGGAGTTGTGAGGGGTGGGGGAGTTGTGAGGGATGGGGGAGTTGTGAGGGGTGGGGGAGTTGTGAGGGATGGGGGAGTTGTGAGGGGCTGGGGGAGTTGTGAGGGGTGGGGGAGTTGTGTGGGGTGGGGGAGTTGTGAGGGGTAGGGGAAATGTGAGGGGTGGGGGGTGGGGAGTTGTGAGGGGTGGGGGAGTTGTGAGGGGTAGTTATAATCGGGGGTGGGTAGATTTGAGTACTGTTTACTTGACCAACAGATGAACATACTAGTGGACAAATAAACAGAGGTGTTTGACTTTATTTCAAGGCAAAACATTTTTTTATTGTTTTTGTTATGATGACGTCAGCGATCTATAAATAGCAGCGTCGATTGAGCGACCACTGGATGTATGAATATTTGATGTCAGGGGAGCGGTCAGAACGAGGCTGACGTTTACACAGGCATTGAGCCTAACCTTGACCTTCTTGTCAATAAACGTAAACACCCCATCTGGTCTAGTGTCACGTTCATAAACTATTCAACTCACGCCAGAGAAAGGTGTGGGTATAGTCTAGTGTCACGTCACAGCCTAGTGTCACGTCACAGGGTTGTGTCACGTCACAGACATCAGTAATGTCTGACATGACTCTGGTATGACATCAATGATGTCTTAATGACATGGTCGCCATTGTTACAACACAGTTTTAGCCAGATGCCGGCAGACATCTTGGAATATCTGCCAGCAGACATCTTGGAATATCTACCGACATCTAGGTCGAGTTGGCCAGGTTTTTATCACATCCGGTGCCGGGGATCTGTGGCGGGATACCTGTAGGTTACCTGTGGTTTACCTGCTGTTTACCTGTTGTTTACCTGTAGGTTACCTGTAGGTTACCTGTTGTTGTCTGCCTGTTGTCGGGGTGGGGAAACGGTGGGCTAAAACATGCAGACCACGTGACCTTTATAAGGGACGTCCGATAGGCCAACATCAGGAAACTGGTGGTACCGGGGTCCCGTCTCCCCCCCCCCCCCCCCCCCCGCCCCACACATGACCCAACGAGGTCACTCGATGAGTCACAGGCAATAACTGCAGCTAGTTACAAAGTCACTGACCGCAATAATCACTGACCACTTCAATCACTGAACACTACAATAACTTACAGCAACAATCATGACCACTACAATAACGGCCCCTGTGTGCGAGTAACGGCCCCTGTGTGCGAGTGACGGCCCCTGTGTGTGAGTAACGGCCCCTGTTGTCGAGTGACGGCCCCTGTTGTCGAGTGACGGCCCCTGTATCTGTGCGAGTAACGGCCCTTGTGTGCGAGTGACGGCCCCTGTATCTGTGCGAGTAACGGCCCCTGTGTGCGAGTAACGGCCCCTGTAACTGTGCGAGTAACGGCCCCTGTGTGCGAGTAACGGCCCCTGTGTGCGAGTGACGGCCCCTGTATCTGTGCGAGTGACGGCCCCTGTGTGCGAGTAACGGCCCCTTTGTGCGAGTAACGGCCCCTGTGTGCGAGTGACGGTCCCTGTGTGTGAGTAACGGCCCCTGTTGTCGAGTGACGGCCCCTGTGTCTGTGCGAGTAACGGCCCCTGTATCTGTGCGAGTAACGGCCCCTGTATCTGTGCGAGTGACGGCCCCTGTATCTGTGCGAGTAACGGCCCCTGTACTAGCTCCCGCTTACCCCGCCCCCCTTGTCGCCGGCTGCATGCCGCGCGCGCTGTGTGAGTACCTCGCCAATATTTACTGACATAACAATTCTGCTCAGGTTAGATAACTGGCTCCAAGATTTCTCGCCCTTGTACACAGGTGTTGGACATTCATTAATTAACCACTACTCAGTTCGGACATTCATTAACGCCCAATTACGGTCAGTTGGTACAATTTTTCTCTAGAAACTTTTTGTTTAAGGCAGTTGTCGATGTATGTGGTGTGGTGTCTTTAACTGGTGTATGTTATGTGGTGTCTTTAACTGGTGTATGTTATGTGGTGTCTTTAACTGGTGTATGTTATGTGGTGTCTTCAACTGCTGTATGTTATGGGGTGTCTTTAAACGGTGTATGTTATGTGGTGTCTTCAACTGGTGTATGTTATGTGGTGTCTGTATGTTATGTTGTGTCTTTGACTGGTGTATATAATGTGGTGTCTTTAACTGGTGTATGTTATGTGGTGTCTTCAACTGGTGTATGTTATGTGGTGTACAACTAACTGTACACCATTCTGTAGGTCTACACCATTCTATACACCATTCTGTACACCATTCTCTACACCATTCTGTACACCATTCTATACACCATTCTGTACACCATTCTATACACCATTCTGTACACCATTCTGTACACCATTCTGTACACCATTCTATACACCATTCTATACACCATTCTATACACCATTCTGTACACCATTCTGTACACCATTCTCTACACCATTGTGTACACCATTGTGTACAACTTTATGTACAACGCTGGCGTGTTGGAAGAGACTGTACCACCGTGAAGTTGTTTCTATACCGACATGATTGTTCCCGATGTTCCCGATGTTCCCGATGTTCCCGATGTTCTTGTAACCAACAAGTTTCGCTGACCCTGAATGGGTTCTAATGTCATCTGTCACAACCGTTGTCAAATGTCATCTGTCACAATGATTGTCAATTTTTATCTGTCACAACCATTGTCAAATATTCACTCGCCTCTAAATGGTTTTCATAACAAACAAAAACGGGAGTGATCTCCCCTAAACTTTCTCGAATATTCTTATATAACCCTACGGGGGATGGCAACTCGGGATATAAACATGATTTTTAATCCATTTTAAATAAAGTTTTAAAAATATGATAGAATCTCGTAAAAAAAAAAGAATTGCGCACTAATAGAACAGCGATCAGTATGTGTAAAACAGTGAGGAATATTAATACTTTATAAATGCATAGTCGTTTTTTGAGAAAAGGGAAATAGCGTAAATTACTACTTCCGATTAACGGAAATTACTCAAAATTTACGTATGAAATTTCATTTCATCTATCACAAATAGTTCTCAAGTTACAAGCTTTTGAATAAGTTCCTCTTCCGGTTATCGGAAATCGCTGAAAAGTTGAAACAGAACTACAAATTTGATATTATATTTCATTAACCCAAGATTTCATTAACCCAAGATTTCATTAACCCAAGATTTCATTAACCCAAGATTTCATTAACCCAAGATTTCATTAACCCAAGATTTCATTAACCCAAGATTCCATTAACCCAAGATTTCATTAACCCAAGATTTCATTAACCCAAGATTTCATTAACCCAAGATTTCATTAACCCAAGATTCCATTAACCCAAGATTTCATTAACCCAAGATTCCATTAACCCAAGATTTCATTAACCCAAGATTTCATTAACCCAAGATTTCATTAACCCAAGATTTCATTAACCCAAGATTTCATTAACCCAAGATTCCATTAACCCAAGATTCCATTAACCCAAGATTTCATTAACCCAAGATTTCATTAACCCAAGATTTCATTAACCCAAGATTTCATTAACCCAAGATTTCATTAACCCAAGCTTTCATTAACCCAAGATTCCATTAACCCAAGATTCCATTAACCCAAGATTCCATTAACCCAAGATTTCATTAACCCAAGATTTCATTAACCCAAGATTTCATTAACCCAAGATTTCATTAACCCAAGCTTTCATTAACCCAAGATTTCATTAACCCAAGATTTCATTAACCCAAGCTTTCATTAACCCAAGATTCCTCCTTTAATTATTTTATTCTGTTCTACTCTAGGAGGTGGTGGGGAAGAGGTAAGCAGTACAACGGTACAACGGTACAGCGGTACAGCGGTACAACGGTATAGAAACGATACGGCTGACTCCTGCTGCCCAATGAATTAGGACAACACAACTTAACGCTCTATTTACCCAGAACTTCTAGAACTGATCCCCCCCCCCTCCATGTGTGTGCCCAGCTAAACGAATCATCCGCCTGCTCAACAAACATCTCGAGATTCCCCGGATGTTGAGAGGTCAGCCATGTTGGATCAAACCACAGAGGCCATCTCTCTTCTGACCGACGTTGTAATGAACGTGACGTCATCTTCCGCGGCTCTTGCCGTGACGTCACTAGCCGATGACGACTTCCTGTCCGCCCAGCTATCGACCAGCTCCCCACCCCCCGACACCCACAACAAAATCCACTTCAACGTTTCCTTCCTAGAAGACATGTCAAATGTCACATCCGGTGCCAATGTCAGCAACTTGACGGCACCTGTCGGACGTGACCTGAGCGTGGCCTTCCAGATTCCCATGTACGTCATCATCTTCACGTTGTCCATCGTGGGCAACGTGCTGGTCATCGTGACGGTACTACAGAACAAGAAGATGCGCTCCGTCACCAACGTCTTCCTGCTCAACCTCTCCGTCTCCGACCTGCTACTGGCTGCCTTCTGCATGCCCTTCACCTTGATCCCCATGTTTCTACGGAACTTTATCTTCGGGGAGGCCATGTGCATCATCATCCGCTACCTGCAAGGTAAGGTAACTCTGGCTTTTACAGTAAGGTAACTCTGGCTTTTACAGTAAGGTAACTCAATCGTTTAGAGTAAAGTAACTCAATGGTTTACATTAAGGTAACTCTGGCTGTTACAGTAAGGTAACTCTGGCTTTTACAGTAAGGTAACTCTGGCTTTTACAGTAAGGTAATTCTGGCTTTTACAGTAAGGTAACTCTGGCTGTTACAGTAAGGTAACTCTGGCTTTTACAGTAAGGTAACTCTGGCTTTTACAGTAAGGTAACTCTGGCTGTTACAGTAAGGTAACTCAATCGTTTAGAGTAAAGTAACTCAATGGTTTACATTAAGGTAACTCTGGCTGTTACAGTAAGGTAACTCTGGCTTTTACAGTAAGGTAACTCAATCGTTTAGAGTAAAGTAACTCAATGGTTTACATTAAGGTAACTCTGGCTGTTAAAGTAAGGTAACTCTGGCTTTTATAGTAAGGTAACTCAATCGTTTAGAGTAAAGTAACTCAATGGTTTACATTAAGGTAACTGGCTTTAAAAGAGAACCCGTTTAGTACACACATGATTAGAGAACCCGTTGCTTACTTCCCTTTGTGGTACTACTCAGATTGTAGTGGTTACTCAAACTTTTAGATATTCAAATCAACCGCATTTTAGACCATTTATGTACATATATCAACCGCATTTTAGACCATTTATGTACATATATCAACTGCATTAAAGACACTTATGTACATATATCAACCTAATTAATGACCATTTATATAAATACGTCAGCCTCACGATTATTTATATGCCTATATAAACCTGATTATTACCATATACATCGCCTAAATAATTAATGACCACATAACTACATATACCACACTCATTAATGACCATTTATATACATATATAATATAGGACCTGAATATTCACTTCATTAAATGGAGCTTTATTGGGTTGTCAAAGACCCCCCCCCAACACACACACACCTCCAACCCCCTTCTCCCCCCACCCCCACCCCCTTCTCCCCCCCCCCTCCCCCATTCTCGACAAGGCTTTAAGCTGAGGGAAACATATCACCTATTTAATGACGGTCATTCCTACACGCCAAAAACATGAACCCAATCAAGATAGAAGAAAAAATTCTTGATGAAAATAAAGTGAAATATTTCTTTCCATTGGCCCGAGATATCGTGGCCAATTTTCGCGGGCCAATGGCCCAGGATTACCCGGCCCAATGGCCCAGGATTACCCGGCTCTATTCATTTCATTCGGACAAATTGGTCAACATGCGATTAATGACCGGATCAAAAAACGGACATTCAATTTTTTAGCGCTTAAGTTCAACGTTTTTGTGCCTGGTAGCTTTGATTCAACACAAATATCGCTTGATTCAACACAAACATCACTTAATTCAACACTCACATCACTTGATTCAACACAAACATCACTTGATTCAACACTCACATCACTTGATTCAACACTCACATCACTTAATTCAACATTCACATCACTTGATTCAACACTCACATCACTTGATTCAACACTCACATCACTTGATTCAACACTCACATCACTTAATTCAACACTCACATCACTTAATTCAACACACAAATCACTTAATTCAACACTCACATCACTTAATTCAACACTCACATCACTTAATTCAACACTCACATAACCTAATTCAACCCATCACTAAATTCACTAATAGCGTATTTAGTTTTCATTGTCGCAAGAAAACATACAATCTTAGACTATTGGCTTTCATAGGCTACCGGCTAGGTCATGGTTTGTGTCATAATGTAGGTCATGGTATAGGTCAAGGTGTAGGTCATGGTATAGGTCATGTTGAGGTCATGGTATAGGTCATGTTGAGGTCATGGTTTAGGTCATGTTGTAGGTCAATAAGGGCTATCACCGTGGGCCTCACTGCCCCATGCCCATTAATGGCCACTTGCTTCCTGCCCAAACTTTCTGCCCGAGCATAATTTGTCCCCAGCTTCAGGGCATATCTGCCAGGCGCCTGTACATGCCACATATCTGCCAGGCAGTAGCCTGTACATGCCACATATCTGCACCGTGTTCTCTGTAAATTGAATCTAAAAAAAATTCTGGAAAGTTTGATCGAATTCATCCAACGAAATCAATAGAAAAAAAAATTCAATTTTGATGTTTCTGAAGTCGAGAATGGCGAATGAAAGTTTTAACATGAGCGGGGATTGGGAGGGACGGGGACAGTGTGGGGGCAGGGACTGAGTTGGGGCAGGGTGTGGCGGAGGTAGATGGGACATGACTGGTTAGGGACGGGCCGCTGATAGTATGGGGTCGGGTGGAATGGATTAAGCTGAGTTTCCCCGACAAGTGTCGCCATCAAAGTGGTCCCGACAAAATGGCCACGACAAAATAGCCACGACAAAATGGTCTGGGCTGACCAGGTCTACGTTATCTACCAGCCACAAAATGTCAAGGTCGTCGGGATGGAGACATTCTCTGGTCACGTGAGAAGTGCATAACCAATGAGCAACCAGCGCGTGCCGTGTGGTCATCAGGCGAGTTTTTTGACCAATCACATTTGAGATTTCTTTCTGTCGTCTGCTTGCTCCATTCTGATTTTTTTTCTTTTACGACATAGACATTTGTACACAAACATAGACATGTGTACACAAACATGGACATTTGTACACAAACATGGACATTTGTACACAAACATGGACATTTGTACACAAACATAGACATTTGTACACAAACATAGACATTTGTACACAAACATGGACATTTGTACACAAACATGGACATTTGTACACAAACATGGACATTTGTACACAAACATAGACATTTGTACACAAACATGGACATTTGTACACAAACATGGACATTTGTACACAAACATGGACATGTGTACACAAACATGGACATTTGTACACAAACATGGACATGTAAACACAAACATGGACATTTGTACACAAACATGGACATTTGTACACAAACATGGACATTTGTACACAAACATGGACATTTGTACACAAACATAGACATTTGTACACAAACATGGACATTTGTACACAAACATAGACATTTGTACAAAAACATGGACATTTGTACACAAACATTTGTACACATTTGAATCTTACAACCTACAAGAAGACTGACGTCACACACCAATCTTCTGGACCCCAGACATCCAAAGCACGTCCACACGTCCGTACGTCCGTACGTCCGTACGTCCCAATAAAAAAGGCATCCTCAGCCTTGACACGATTTTCCCCGGGAATTTTGGTCAAATGTCAAGGTTACTGGCGGGTTATGACGTCAGCTGTAGAATGGAATAGGGTGATGTGGATCCATTGAGGGTAGCTGAATCACCACCCCTACACCCCATAGTGCTGCCCACCCCTACACCCCATAGTGCTGCCCACCCCTACACCCCATAGTGCTGCCCACCCCTACACCCCATAGTGCTGCCCACCCCTACACCCCATAGTGCTGCCCACCCCTACACCCAATAGTGCTGCCCACCCCTACACCCCATAGTGCTGCCCACCCCTACACCCCATAGTGCTGCCCACCCCTACACCCCATAGTGCTGCCCACCCCGCCACACCGGAGCACCCATCTAGGGCGCCACTGCAGTATTTAGCACCTGTGTGGACTAAATGTCGGTGTGTGTGGGGAAAAATGTGTGTGTGGGCCGAAATGTGTGTGTGGGGCGAAATGTGTGTGTGGGGCGAAATGTGTGTGTGGGGCGAAATGTGTGTGTGGGGCGAAATGTGTGTGTGGGGCGAAATGTGTGTGTGGGGGGCGAAATGTGTGTGCGGGTACTGAACAAAAGACACGGGTGTATTTCCCGCCTAAAAGTGTACAAAGTCCCATTAACTTGCTCAAAAATCTCCTCCAATTGGTCTCGCCTAAAAGTGTACAAAGTCCCATTAACTTGCTCAAAAATCTCCTCCTAAAAGTGTACAAAGTCCCATTAACTTGCTCAAAAATCTCCTCCTAAAAGTGTACAAAGTCCCATTAACTTGCTCAAAAATCTCCTCCTAAAAGTGTACAAAGTCCCATTAACTTGCTCAAAAATCTCCTCCTAAAAGTGTACAAAGTCCCATTAACTTGCTCAAAAATCTCCTCCTAAAAGTGTACAAAGTCCCATTAACTTGCTCAAAAATCTCCTCCTAAAAGTGTACAAAGTCCCATTAACTTGCTCAAAAATCTCCTCCTAAAAGTGTACAAAGTCCCATTAACTTGCTCAAAAATCTCCTCCTAAAAGTCTACAAAGTCCCATTAACTTGCTCAAAAATCTCCTCCAATTGGTCTCGCCTAAAAGTGTACAAAGTCCCATTAACTTGCTCAAAAATCTCCTCCTAAAAGTGTACAAAGTCCCATTAACTTGCTCAAAAATCTCCTCCAATTGATCTCGCCTAAAAGTGTACAAAGTCCCATTAACTTGCTCAAAAATCTCCTCCTAAAAGTGTACAAAGTCCCATTAACTTGCTCAAAAATCTCCTCCTAAAAGTGTACAAAGTCCCATTAACTTGCTCAAAAATCTCCCCCAATTGGTCTCGCCTAAAAGCGTACAAAGTCCCATTAACTTGCTCAAAAATCTCCTCCTAAAAGTGTACAAAGTCCCATTAACTTGCTCAAAAATCTCCCCCAATTGGTCTCGCCTAAAAGAGTACAAAGTCCGATTAACTTGCTCAAAAATCTCCTCCTAAAAGTGTACAAAGTCCCATTAATTTGCTCAAAAATCTCCTCCTAAAAGTGTACAAAGTCCAATTAACTTGCTCAAAAATCTCCCCCAATTGGTCTCGCCTAAAAGCGTACAAAGTCCCATTAACTTGCTCAAAAATCACCTCCTAAAAGTGTACAAAGTCCCATTAACTTGCTCAAAAATCTCCCCCAATTGGTCTCGCCTAAAAGCGTACAAAGTCCCATTAACTTGCTCAAAAATCTCCTCCTAAAAGTGTACAAAGTCCCATTAACTTGCTCAAAAATCTCCTCCTAAAAGTGCACAAAGTCCCATTAACTTGC